TAGAGTTGCAGCTGAGAGGCCGGCAAGTGAGGCGGGGAACGTTGGAGTCTGCAGCAAGCAAGCCCATGTTCCCTTCAGCTGCTTGGCTGCCGGCCGCCATCTTGGTTGGCAGTTAATTTGCATAACGCCCTGATTAGCCAATGGGAAGTGTAACGGAGGTATGGTTAATTACCATGTTTGTCTATTATTAGATAGGATATGGGACGTATGTTAGCCATAAATCTATGCTTTTTCATCTTTCTTTCCTTTGGCTAACTCCTCACCCCCCCCACCCCATTTTTTGTTGTTGTTGTTAATCCTCACCCAAGGATAATTTTCCATTGATTTTTAAGGAGAGTGGAAGAGAGAGGGAAAGAAAGAGAGAGGAACATCGATGTGAGAGAAACACATCGATTGGTTGCCTCCTGCACAAGGCAATCAGGGCTCAGGCTAGGGAGAAGCCTGCAACCAAAGTACCTGCCCTTGACCAGAATCGAACATGAGACCCTTTGGTCCACAGGCTGACACTCTATCCACTGAGCCAAACAAGCTAGCGCTAAATCCGCATTCTTTAGATCAGTGGTTCTCAACCTTCTGGCCCTTTAAATACAGTTCCTCATGTTGTGACCCAACCATAAAATTATTTTCGTTGCTACTTCATAACTGTAATGTTGCTACTGTTATGAATCGTAGTGTAAATATCTGATATGCAGGATGGTCTTAGGTGACCCCTGTGAAAGGGTCGTTTGACCGCCAAAGGGGTCGCGACCCACAGGTTGAGAACCGCTGCTTTAGATTCTCCTTTTTGCATTAACATCAATTGATTTTTTTATTTGGTTTGTGGTAAGGGTTTCTTAACATGTTTACCCTTATGGATAGCTAATAACTGTTTATTGAAGCAAATTTTCCCTAAAGATTTTGCATATCTTTTATAAGATTTATTCCTGGTTACATGTTATTTTTTAAATGTTACCATCAGTGTTATCTTCTTTAAAACATTTCATTTCTGATTTGTTGCTGATATATAAAAATACAGTTAATTTCTGTATAGTAAGTATCCAGCAACCTTGCTTAAACTCTCATTAATTTTAATAATTGATCTAGGTTGTAATTTCTATTTATTGCACTTACATCATTTGTAAATAAGTTTTTTTTTGCCTCCTTTTCAATCTTTATTAATTTTCTTTTTCTTGCTTTATTGCCCTTGCTATCTAACTTCCAGTTCATTGCTGAACAGTGGTGGTGATTGTTGGTACCCTCGTCTTGTGCCTGATCTCAAAGGGAAAGTTTTCATTGTTTTATCATTAAGTATGAAGTTTACTGTAGTGTTTTTTGAGATACTCTTTATAATATTAAGGGCTTTTCCATATATTTTCTTTCTTTGCTAAAAGATTGTTTTAATTTTTTTAATTTGGAGTGGATGTTGAATTTTATTATATGGTTTTTTGGCATTTGTTTATATGTAGCTCCTTCAGTCTGTTAATATAATTAAATATATTGATTGATTTTTCGAAGTTAAACAACCCTACATTTCTGGAATAAACTCAGCTTGTCTATCACATATTGTATTTTGTATACATCTAGTTTTTTGGGGTAATATTTTTATACAATTTTTCACCTATGCTCATTCTTCTTTTTCTTTGGCCCTTGTCACATTATCAGGCTACTAAAGTTATGTCCTCTTCTATAAAACTATTTTTGTGTGTTTCTTATTTTTCTGTACTCTGGATAAGTTTGTAAAAGAGTACTAGTAGGAATTTTCAAAGGCCTCACTGAGAAAGCTATCAGAGAGCTAGAGCTTTGTGAGGAGAGTTTTCAACTGCTGGTTTAATTTATTTGTTGTTCATAGGACAGTGCAGATTTTGTACGTCTTCTTGAGTCAATTTTGGTAAATTATATATTTCCCTAGGAAAAGTTTTCTATTTCCTCTAATTTTCAAAGATATTGCCATAAAGTTGTTCACAATATTTTATTATTTGTTTCATAGCTGCAGTGTTTCTAGTATTTCATTCCTGATTTGAATTATTTGTAACATATTTGCAAGTAATGGCATTTATTGCTCTTTGAAAATAATCAAATCTTGCTGATTTTTACCATTGTGAATTCATTTTTTATTTTAGTAATTGCTACTCACATTTATTATTCTCCCTTCTATTTTTATGGGCTTACTTTGACTTCATTTTTCTAACTTTTTTCAGATAGATGCTTAGCTAATTAATTTTCAAATTTGAAAGCTAAAACAATTCTCTTAGGTATTATTTTAGCTGCATCTTTATTACCTAAGGGCTAGATACTAAATATTATAGGTTTTGCAGGCCATATGGGCTCTGTTGCAACAACTTAATTCTGACATTGTAGAGTAAAAGCAGCCATAGACAACATGTGAATAAATGAGCATGGATGGCTGTGTTCCAATAAAACTTTATGGATACTGGAATTTGAATTTTATAAAATTTTCAGAGAATATAATTTTTCTTTTGATTTTTTAAAAACCATTTTGCATTTAAAAATATAAAAGCTATTCTTTGCTCATGAACTGTACAAAAATAGGAGGCAGGCAGACTCCCCGGCTCTTTATTACCTAGTAATAATATTCCACTCTATGCATCTACTCCAATTTGTTTGTACATTTTCCCATTGTTAAACATTTGAATTGTTTCCAGTTTTTGGCTACTCCAGATAAAACTGCTATGAACATATGTTTTCTTGGTATGAACATATGCTTTCTTTTCTCTTGGGTAAATACCTAGAGTGGAATATCTGGATCATATGGTAGGTCTTTCTTTTTGTCCTGCTGGTTTGTTTTTTTCATTGATTTTACGGAATTTTGTTTTTCTCTTTTCTCCTCTTCCATTGTTTGGAGGATATATATTCTAATTTTAATTATTTTGTTGGTTATTCTTAAATTCAGAAGAAACTTTAATCTTCCTGTCTTTCTATGAATACTGAAGATGAATTTGGTTTTATTATTTTTCCCTTCCCCAAAGAGGTTAAAACTCTTAGCATGTTTTACTGCTGCATTTCTTGTCTCCATCTTTCATGTATTATTGAAATCACTGATTATTATATCCAGTTGTTATTTATTGTTTTTAATATTATGTCTCTACTTTTAAAAGAACTACTTTCTTATAAGTTCTTTGAACCCTTCGGCCAATTGCCAGCAGTAATTTCATTCTAGCTGTGTTTTACTTTGTTTTTGGGTTCAATATTTTTTCATGTATCCTTTGTCTTCCTATTTTCTTGGATTTTCCAATTCATTTCTCTGGAGTATGTTCTGAATTTTTTTTCATTGATGTTTTCTGAAATTTTTTAGTCCTTTTCATAATTAAAACGTATTTATTTTACCCCATATTTTAATTAGTTGAACTTTGAGAGCATTGTTTCACATTGTTCTACATATAGTGCTGTTTATGAGAGGTCTGATTTCAGGTTATTTTATTTTGTAGGAAACTTGGTTTTTGTTTTCTTTCTGGAAGCTTAGGACAATCTTTTTACCTTGGGGTTTTACAATTTTCCTGTATGTTTCCGGGTGTTTTTTCATTTTTTTCTTGTTTGACCCTTTGTGGACTCTTTCAGTTATTTCATTAAAGTCTTTCTTCAAGTCAGGAAAATACCTTTCTATTACTTCTTTATTTTTTCTCACATCATACTCTATTCCACCCATTTGTTGCTCATTTTTAGTGGATGTTGGTCTTCTTAGATATGTCTTCACTTCCAGATTTCTTAACTTTTCTCTCATGTTAAATTTTCTATTATTTCTATTCCACTTTAGATATTTTCATTCTCTCTCTCCCTATCCCCCTTTCTGTCTCTTCCTTGTTTCCTGCCTCTCTTTCTTCATATCTCTAATTCATTCTTTTTCTTCACTGGTTACATATGTACACCTGCAACTAACACACACACACACACACACACACACACACACATCTATATATATAAGACTAAGTGACCATCCAATCGTCTGACCGGCCAGTACCTATGATGAGTACTGACCACCAGGGGCAGATGCTTAATGCAGGAGCTGCTGAGCTGCAATGACTTGGCAGCTGCGGTTCTCGGGTGATGCACTCTGAACCAGAGCGGAGTGAGCCCAATTCCACCTTTGGTCGTGGGTTATGTTGTTCCTGGACACAAATCTGGTTTACTGCACACTTGCATTTGTGTTCCACACCCTGTATTACAGCAACTTTGCAGAGTGCTCTCTTGCACTCCGGGATCCCTCAGGGGATGTCAGAGAGCCGGTTCGGCCCGATCCCCTCAGGCCAGGCCGAGGGACCTGCTCACTCCAAGACTCCCTTCCAGTGGCATTGCCCCAGGTGCAGCCAGCCAGGGAGGGACCACGGGAGGTTGGCTCCAGGGCATGTCTGGCCGTCTAGCCCAGTCCTGCCCCACTCAGCCACCACCAGGGACTGCCTGCATTAGTCCCTGCACCAGAGCCAGCACCAGGCCGAGCCAGAAGATTAGAGCATGAGTTTTCTTCTCTTTTTCTTTTCCTGCTCACTCTGCAGACGCCCTTTGAGCCACGGTGCCACCCCAGGAATTCTAATTAATTTCCTTTCAATGTGCACGAATCCATGCACCAGGCCACTAATATATGTGTGTGTGTGTGTGTGTGTGTGTGTGTGT